ACTATAGCGGCTACTGCTTCAGAATTGGTTGGACACCACAGCCTCAGAATAAAAGTATCCTCAGTATCCGCTCTGGGGCTCCCACATTGGTGCAATATCTACTCCCATGCACAGCTTCTGTAACTATCTCATTGGTTTAAAAGAGACAAAGATGGGAAACACAAACTTGACCTGCAAAACATTGCTGGATTTTCTTGACGATTTGCAACCTAAATGCTAATGGTCCTCCAGCCAGAATGAAAATTTCAGTATTCTCTTAAATCAACTCGGCACACATGAGCAATTCACAAACATCTGTGACTATGCCTGTGGTAGAGATATTTCATTTTCAAGTTTGTGAGGAGTCATTAAAAACGGACTTAAAGGAATTATAAAAAATATTTTTAGTACCTCATTTATAATCATCCCTTTCCAGAAAAAACAGGAAAATTACATTTAGAGATAACATTTCTGATTCTTTTAAGACACTTCAGCTGCTACCCTGACAACTTCTATTAAAAAATGCAATGAAAATACCTTTGGTAGAAAAACACTTACATTGGCACAGAGAAGTGGCTGAGGCGATGATTTAAAGCCGCAGCTATGCCAGTGTCGAAGCTGAAGAAGAGATATTAAAAAATCGGAGGGAGAAATGAGTGAAACTGAAGTAAAGAATTGCTTTGACTTAACTTGTTTTTGTAACCTGATCAATGTATCACTTATCTAGTTCCCAGGTGCCAGATTTTCAAAGAGAAGCATCTAATTTATTGTAGATAAATACTATCTTGAATACGCAAATGTGTGTATTCGTGGCTAGTTAGCTGCACAACTAGACATGCATGAAAAAAATATTTTGGGGAGATGCAGTGTTTCCTTGCACCAAAGAGGTACGCTTAATATATGCATACAAATCTTTGAAAAATCAAACTATGCATTAATAGACCACATTTTAGAACTCAAACAGGCTTATTCAACAATAAGTTGTTTTGAACCTAGACACATGAAGACTTGATTATACAGTATTAACTCATTTTTAATTTCAGATATCTCATACACTTAGTCAGTAATGAGAGGTAATTCTTTTTGTTAGTCTTTGAATATAATGATCAAGTTCTAGGACCTAAATAATTATATTGTGCCTCTCCTCCAAAGAGTCATGGTATTTCAATTTTAAATCTTCCTTGGACATAACATTTAGGGAACAGAAATCACAGCTTGATTAACTTTCATTCATTACTTATAGTTCAAAGCATGGCTTATTACACATGATACTCAAAAGAACCATGTAACAAATAATTTATGATGACAAATATCAAAAATAACTTTGGATGCAACAGACTACACCGCAGAGGTTCAGCACAAGGCCTACAAACTAGCTAAGGCTCACTTACATCCTTAGAACAAGGCTTAAGAGGGATTTACCTAAGTCAGAAGCCTTGTGCTGTACCACTGCAGAGGGTGAATTTCATTTATTCTGCATAGCTCATCAAGGTGTTAAACAGTAATAGTAACTATAGTCAAATGACATTTCCATTGTAATTTTCTAAAGTTTATCATCATACAATAAGGCACCAAAAATAATTGGCTTTTTTTTTTAAATAAAAAGCTCACTCTGACAACTAAATTAGTAATAAATCTTCTTCACTTATGCCATCTTCCCTGAAAACAAATAAACTGTGAGAGAGAATCTTAGTCCCGTATTCCCTTTCAAGGTAAGTTTCAACATGCATTTTACAATGCTTTGTGCATTATTGTAGTTTAGTTTTCAATTAACTTGATTTTGTTTATTTTATAGGCAGATGGTATCTACAATTTGTATGTAAAGAACAGGCCTCCCACCTGCCCCTGAGAACCAGCATTCCCCTTCACATCCATTCAAAAAATTTTTCAGAGTTGTCATTCTGTCAGTCATTACCACTGTGAAAATAGTAAAGGATGTGCTGCAAACAACAGGAAGTATGAAGCCCTACTAACAACACTGAGTAAAGATTTTTCTATCTAAGGAAAATGTCAACCGTTGTCAATGAAATTTAAGGTGGGAAAGAAAAAAGTTAATAGGCTCAGAAGCCTCCTGCAACCTGAGCTGACCTTCTACCCAGGAAGAGGGAGGCAGTGGGGAACCATTCACAGGGACACTGGTTCATAAGGGGAGTGGGGCATCAGTTATCTTCAAAAATTCTAGACCACCTGCCTAGAAAGTAAACAAAAGAAAAGAATACATTGAAGCACAAATAACCCTTTAAAATACATGTTGAAGCTTACCTAAAACCAGTATTCATAGTGACGTGTTTTCCCCAGAGAAATCAATGAGAAAGATTCTCTCCAGCACACAATCTGTTCAAGGGAAGATAGTAGCCTTCATTAAGTAAGCTCAGAACTATCCATTGTTACAGGCATACTGAAACTTTCATGGGTATTTGATATCTTTCCTATAACCCTGGCAATATGTTATACTTTAACATATCAGCTCTCTGGTATTATGCTCTGAAAGCACAACAGTAGACAATGTGTCTTGGTTGCTAGATTTTGTATCCATGGAATAAAGAAGCTTTAAAAAAAAAGGTATTTTTAAGTTTCCCATGAAAGATTCTGTTTATCTGGAAAAAACAAATCGAGTTCTTAAATAATTTAAGAAACAGCTTCAAAAGACCTAAAAAACAAACAAACAAATTTGGATCTCTTTCTCTTTGTGATTTGATCCTTTTAACAATTCTAAAACAGTATTGTTTTCTTGTTATGATGCTGGGATTTATTTGAGGTCAACTATTTCATTTAGCATTTTTCATCTGTACTTTCAGTCATTAACACTAATGTATTGAGTGCTCTACACGCTCATGATTTCTATAATTTCACATGAAATGTTTCAAGATTTTTACATTTTTGCTGTAAAAATACGAAGTTTTCAAAATATTCATGGTAAACTAAAGGTCCCAATTTTTTCAATTTAGTGTAAATAGTATACTGTTACAGAAGACTTTTGCTTTTTTCTTTATTAGTAAATGAGGTTTGGTTTAGTTAATTCAATATTTTTGATACAGAAAAGCAGGCAACTGTTACAAAACAGAGCAAGTTGTTCATTTTGTCAGGGAAGACATGGCAGAATTCATCCTCTACAATTTTCCTCTACATATCTGATATTTCCACTAAATGAAAGCCTCTTTAAAGAGCTGAAATTTGAATTGATCCTTAATATTACTTTAGTTTTCAGTTTAAATAAAAAATGCAGTTCCATGCGTACAGAAGCACACTCACTGTATGTGAACTAATGAGGAAAAGTACAATTTTAATACAAGAACACTTTTCATTGGCCTATAATCTCCCAAAATACAAAGTATCATGGGTACAAAATGGCTGCCTTGAGAAGACAGAGGCTGTCTGAGTTAAGGTTAATTCAATTAAATCCCAAACCAGAGCAACAAGAAAAAATGAAATCCTCAAATATAGTCATGCTGACAATGAAGTTTTATGTCTGACTGAAGTTTTTTTATTTTTGATTAATACACTCTATTTCTAAATGATCCCAAAGTACTTATTAGTTGTATACTTTGCTCTAAGAATTGTATCTTCTTATAATCCTAGAAACAACACTATGAGCAAAGGCAGAGGGGGAGCGAGATTCAGTCTTTATTGTCCTATTATTCCAGCCACAGAAGTCAATATTATCTTATACAGCTTCTAAATGGCAGAAACACAGGAACCCATGTTGAGGATATTTATTCTTTCCTTACTTTGCAGCAATGTGAGAAGATCTGACATATGTATTCTTGTGTATATCGAGACCTACTAAGCAGTGCCATGAGGTGGGGGATAACTGTAGCATCCTAGAAACAAGCCAGAAAAGAAAACAGTATTAAAACTAAAAATTTCAGTACCATTAGTTAGCAGTAACTAACAAGATGCACCTAAAATTTCCAATAGTCAGTACCTGAGCCTAAAACAGGGGACCTGCTGAGACAAATAAGGAAAAAAGACAATGGCATAAAAGTAGTATGGTGGTGATTTTCAAAGAAAAAGACCACTTGGGGGCCTATTCCCACCAAATGCTATGTTCTTAATGCCAAGCTATGTGTCACTGAAAATCTCTTCATTGAGTAACCTATTTAATAAGAAGTCATAGGGCAAAGGTAGAGTCTCATTCGACTCACAGCACAACCTGTCATGGCCAACAAACATTGGATTAAAAGTTCTGTGCATTTCTGAGACAAAAATCCACCAGTGGCCTCCTCCTCCTCCTCCTCCCAGAATGGTAATTTACTTACCTTGTAATTCATTACCTCTTGAATCTGAGAGGGTGGAGTGGAGGGAATTTAGGAAGTGAGGTGCCAGTATAGACACTGGATTTTTTAAATCCCCGCCCCCCCCCAGCAGATGGGGGGGACATCCAAATAATTGAGTGACATTGGCCTTTCAGCTGAACAGTCCAATTCAAAGGATATCCTTTAGCACTGACAAAGCACATGTAAACTCTCATAGTGGGAAAAAACCAAATAGTAATCAGAAGAGAAATCAGCAAAGGGAGATCACCTCACTACCTAGTCTTCAGTTTTGTTCTGTTAAGAATCCAATCTTGTTTCTTAAAATAACTACACTAATTAGAAATACCTAAGTATTATTATAAATCAATGAAAACTTTAAGAAGTCTAACATATATTTTAGCAGAAGCCAGCTACAAGTGGAGATTCCACTAGAAGCAGAACTCCAGAAGCCAATCTCAACTAAATCATCTCTACGACAAAAGGCTTAAGCAAAGGAGGCTAAATATCAGATATCTTTTTTATGGAATTGCTGCGATGTGGCCTGCCTCTGCCACATCTCTTTCCCCCAACCCTCTGCTCCCCTCATGTACCACTACCCCACATAACCCAAACCCTCTGCACCCCCACTCCCTCTCCCAAACCCTGCACCCCCTCCGATACCACTCCTCCAGGTCACAACCCACTCCAAGACCTTGCACCCCAATGCCCTGGTCAACCAAACTCACTGCACCCCCTCCTGCACTCCTGCCCCAAGTCACAATCCTGTCTCAGACCCTGCACCACCTTCTACATTCCTTCTCTAGGTCAGAATAATTTCCTGCATCCATACCCCATCTCAGACCCTGCTGCGGGTCATAACCTCCTCCTTCACTCAAACTCCCTCCCAGTTCCCACACCTTAATCTCTTATCCAAAGCCTCCTTCTGCATCCCAACCTCCATCCCAGATCCCACACCTCCTCCATTAATACAATGGAAGAGTGTGGCCCTTGACTACTCACCAAATTCTTGGAGTAGCCCTCTAGCAAAAATTATTGCCCACCCCTGGTCTTGACAGACCAACAGCAGGAAAATAGGTAAATAAATGCAGACAGCTACCTTGGCAGGGTTCTCAAAGGGAAAAGCAAATCCTCAAATTATAAACCCAGAAGTGCTGAAATGAGATCTGGGAACAGGTATGCAGAAGTGTAGCTGTGATGGTACTTGGATATTATAGAAACAAAGTGGGTGAAGTAATATCTTTTATTGGATGCTTTTCTGTTGGTGACACACAAATTTTCAGGCTTACAAAGAGCTTTCTTCATGTCTGTAGAAAAACTTAGGCCTGGTCTACACTGCAATCTTACATCAACCTAGCTGTGGAAATGTCTTCACTAAATTTGGCCTCCAACTATATAAGTGCCTCTTTACAATAACTTAAATTAATGGAGATTGCCTATCTCCTAGAACTGGAAGGGACCTTGAAAGGTCATTGAGTCCAGTCCCCTGCTTTCATAGCAGGACCAAGTACCATCCCTGACAAATTTTTGCCCCAAATTTCTAAATGGCAACCACAAGGATTGAACTCACAACTCTGAGTTTAGCAGGCCAATGCTCAAACCACTGAGCTATCCCTCCCTTCCCACAAATACAATGTGAAGTTTCACATGCTGAAGTGATATTTGTTCTTGATATGCAACAGTCTCAAATTACTCAGCAAGAGAACAGGAGATCCAACTATTTCAACATCTCTTCATTCCCATCTAGTGAAGACTCCAAGCACCCTTGTGGAAGACCAGCACACAGTGACAATGAAATGCATGCTCCACGTGTCCAAACAACACATTTTAGCCACCCATTCTGCAATGTTAGCAGTGCAAGGATTCAAACATTTTGGCCTGAACGCTGTTTAGCCCACATTTGGCTCATGAGCATTTAGATGCAGTCTTGCGGGTATACTGCAAGCTTATGGTGTGGGTCAGCCCTGAAAAGTGACTAAAAATGGCATTATAGGTTGTCCATGTTCATTCTCTCTCCAAGTTCATATTGAATTCACTTTAAAAAACCAGGATGTTGTTTTCATCCTTTAGCTGAAACCCCTGCTAATTTAGCCTGGCATATGAGACTCAAGATAGATTATTGCTGAAGAGTACACACGAACCAGAAAAAGATTCTGCCAGATAAATTCTGCCCTTTCTTACATACTAACTAATGAAGTGACAATGTAGGTTAATTATAGTCTTTTAGACTTTGAAAGTGGGGATCTTCCAAGCTGAGTGATGAAAGCAACCCAAAATATTTAAAACTAAATAAAGCACTTTAGGTTAGAGCAGGGGTGGGCAAAATCAGGCCTGCCAAGCATTTCTCTCTGCCTGCCCAACTAACTAGCAGAGCTAGCAGCTTGTATTCAGCTGCCTTTCCCCCCACCTTGCTAGTCTCCTTCCTGCAGTCAAGGTATCCCAGGAGTCTCCTGCTAGCAGTGCAGAGAGGGGGAAGGAGCGGGAAGGCGGGGATGAAGAAGGGTGCCCCCCTGCCCCTGTACCTCATCTCTGCAGAGCAGGGGTCTGGGACAGGGAGACACACAGAAGAGCTGCTCTCATCTGAAGTGTGGATGGTAAGTGACTCAGAGGAGGGCAGAGACAAGGGAGCAGCACAGATTTCCCTTAAAGAGACAGAGCGTGGCTTCTCAGAAACTTACCCAGCAGCAACCAGCGCACACACAGTGTCACTGTCACACCTTCAGTTCCGTGCCTGTGACACACATGCAGTCACTGTCTCATACACACTGCTGCACACTCAGCGTCATGGTCTGTCTCTCTCTCTCTCTCACACACACACACACACACACACTTACTTTCTTCGCCTCTCTCTGTACCCCTCAGTCCCATCCCCATCCCTTCAGCCCAAGACTCCACCCCTTCTGGGGGCCTGTAGCCAACCCATAACCAGTTACCACGATTTGTGAAGTAATCCCCCCTGCAAAAATTATTGCCCACCCCTAGATCAGAAGAAAATGCTGCATTGCCCACGTGATTTATTTGACCTTTTTGGATCTTTTCCAATTCTAATTATTATGATTCTTTAATACTTTGTTTTCTTCTTTAATGATACTTGAATTAAACCAAGCCATTGTATTCCTGTATCTTCTATATAAAATAGGTCACAAAGCTAGAATATTTACAGTAGTTAATTGTTGTAAAAGTAGCATCCGTAGTCAGGTCCTCCTCTGGCCAAAAAAATTAACGTTTGCACAGTGAGGACCTCTAGCCTCTTCATGCATGAGTGAAATATTAAATGTTAGTAGCATCATAACCACATTTCACTGCAATGCACAAACAGAAGTTACAAGAGTAAAGATACATTGCCTAAAACTTACTGCATACAATAGTTCCTCTGGAGTTACTGGGCTGGTGAAAATGGTACGAAGACATCGGAGGCAAGCTTCAATAAACTTCAGTTCTGGTGACAGCAATCCTGTGAATATACATACATTGTCTCATTCTTTTTGCTTCTTTCAAATGCAAGTGTTGTAGAAATAGTTAGCAAAGTACAATGCATTAAATGAAAGCCAAGATACCTTGCAATAAGGCTGGGATAATATGGCAGTCTAATAGAGACTTGACATTGTTTTCTGTACCCATCGCAAGGCTTCCTAGCACTACTGCACACTCAGTTCTCAGCTCCGTACTGGAGGTTTCTTGCTGAAGCAAATACAGCAACCTGTAAATGGAAATACAGAATTGCAGTTACCCAAATACCCCTTACCCAAAAATCTTAATTATCAAAATCCTACCATGTGCCCCACACGTAGCCCTATGTTAATCACTTGCTAATCAATTCTCAGTCAGCCTTCTAGTAACAATGGCTTAGTATTTGTATAGTAGATCAGAATAATTCAGAATTAAGTTATGTACACAGTAGTTGTAATACAATTTGGGTGTTTTAATAAACAAAGTGCAAAATATTAAGCAAAAATCAGTGTTTTGAGCACTTCTGTTTATCCATATACCTAGCTATCTGAACCTTAAGTCCCCAAGCCATCCGAATAAATGAGAATGTACTGTATTTACAGAGATATCAGTAGTCAGGTTTAATGAAGAAAACCATAACATCACAATATCTAGTTCAAGTGCAGCCCTCCAGGTAAAAAAATGATTGTTTCTCTTGGAGGGAAGGCCAGAGATGCAACAAAAGTGTAAAACAAACATCCTACAACAGTCATGAGAGTATTTTTACAATAAGTATATGTTAGAGTAGATTTCCGATTTATACCAAAAGATACTATATTCTGAATCTTCTAGAAAGATAAAAGCAGAACGATGGTTGACATTCTAGAAAGCTTCCTACCAGATACCACTACAATCCATTTTTGAAGAGAGAGAGTGAATTTTGATAATCTCATTTATTTTAAATCAGTTTCTGAGCCAAAGCCACTTCTTCAGATGAGCTGAAATCATGCAAACAAGAGTGGGCCGCAGCAGCCCATGGCCCTCTGAGATTCCACCAGCAACCTTGTGGACCCCGTCTGCTCCCCTCCCCCATGCACCTCTCACACACTGGAGCCCTGAACTTCCTACTCGTTCCCCTCCATCCCAGAACTTTTGGAGTGTGCAAATCACCTCATTTGCTCTTAGTCCCCACTTCTCTTCCCCCTCAGAGCTTGAAGAAAGAGCAAACGGCTGATTTGCAGGATTCCAGCTCTGGGAGAGAGGGAGAGGAGCTGGGACGGAGCACAAATGAGGCAATTCAACACTCTGAAGGTGCGGAGAGGGAAGGAGTAGGAAATGTCTTCCAAGGACAGTGGAGTTTCATGTTGTTGGAATTGGACCCTACTGCTGATGGGCTCCGGATAGTCTTAATGTTCTTTTCTATCAGACCAAGAAAGAGAACGAAATTGTCTGACTTGCTCCTCAGTTTCTCCACAAAACTAGCAGAATTTGTTTTTGTGGAGACCAACAGTACAAATCTTGGTTTAGCGAAGTGAACTTTGACGGGTCAAGAGGCAAAATCATGGGGCTATCCAAGAATGTTAAAGCACAGCAAACATGGTTGGGGGCATCGGTTTATAGCAATGAATGAAGCCAATAAAGAGATCCAATTCAAACAATCCGAAACTCCACTGTCCTTGGAAACTGATTATAGCTACCAGAGTTTATCTATTACAATATTGTCTGAAACGGTTACATTAAGTAAAAGCATTTTATTCATTCACTAAGTAACAGTGTATTTCTTCACTTTCAAAGGGATTGCAAGTATACAGTCTTATCTGAGCCAAGATCTGACTGATGTCACAAGGGTTTATGCAGTAGTTGGTCTAAGCAGTACTATGACCCCTAGAAATGTGGATGGCAGCAAAAGGATGGCAAGCTTTTCCATATCTCCTCTTGCTGAGCACTGCCTCCCAGTGAACAGCTTCAGAATCTTGTGCTTTTCAGATCATATAGCACCTTTCCTCCTCTCCCCTATTCCAAGAACATCCAGCTATGCCTTAAGAACCAACAGAATACTAAATGAACATTCTACCATCTCACAGAAAAATTATCACTGGATGCAGAATCATCATGGAATTAACACACACGTTTTACATCAAGCCTGTCTTTGCAAAGTCTCTTTAAAGATTATAGATCCATGAAAGTATAAGCAACAAAAATAACTATTAGATTTCACAGAAAAGCAATTGTCATGTTGCAGCGGGTTTGGGGGTGGGAAGAGGGTGTTAGGGTTTGTTTGGGTTGGTTTTTAAGATGTAATGAAGGAATGCTGAAAATGTTCCACCCTCACTGATTCTGTGATCAAAAATACAAATAATTGTTTAAGTCTGAAGATAGTTTTTATTCTGCTCCCCTTCAACTGCAGTTCCCACCAAGCTCTCAAACAATACAGATTTTCTCTTCACCAACTGCACACCAGCTTCCTCAGTCATTATTTGCAGCAGGCTTAATCAGTGCTGGTTCTGAAGATCTCAGAAGACCTTGTGTGTTGTTTGGTGACTTCCAAAACAAGTCACCTCTACACTAATAAACTCCCAGTCATCAAAAACTGGGGATGAGAATACATGCAGAGTAGCAAAGTTTCAGATGGAGAATGCTGTGTGCAGGCACTGACAGAGCAGACATCTAGGAGAATCCACTGGAAATGCTGATGTCCTTGTTCACTCAAACTTCAGTTTGCAATATCTGTGTCAATATCCATCACCACAGGATAAGGCAGACAGGAATCCCAACAGCAAATTCTTGCAATGTAATCTCCCCGGCTAGCATTCCCGAGTCCATGCCTACTTTGGAACTCAACTGTTTCAATTTTCTAGTTAATTTCTTGAGCTCTTTTCCCAAATGGGCATGTAGAATCTGATTTTCTCAGATACATCTCTACACCTCTACTGTCAGTCTACTGATGAGCAAGACCTAATCCTCATCTGGCAGTGATTAGGTTAAGGAAATTAGACACATCTACAAATGATGATAGTGTACACCTCTCCAGGTCAAGAATAGCTTCTGATATTCTCCAGGAACTTCCATGCCTGAAAAACATAAGAATAAGAACAATTATTGACACACATTAGTTTCCACACAGTTGACAGATTTAGCAAGGAGAATTTTGCAATATCTTACAGAATGAGGACACAAAAAATATAAGATAGTACAATTGCTGTGCATGGTATGGGTTAGTTGATGGACAGCAATTCAGCAAGGAAGACAAATAGCTCACATTTTCCTTCCCTTTCACAACTTAGGAGGAGGATCCCTGGACCTGACTAAGCCTACCCAACTAGCACAGACTTGAACCAGGCAGGTTTAACCATTGTACAACTGAAAAAGAAACAATGCTTTGATCTCAAAATAGATCAACACCAAGAATTTAGTTAAAGCAATAAGACCACACGAGGAAACATACATTGTAACTATATTAATGCCAATATCTAGGTCTTACCCTCAGACATCCACTCCCTGTGTTCATGATACATCTTCTCTATCAACACTCCAAGATTTCCTGGACTGGATTTCCAGCAATGGCCCTGATTTTGTTCTAGTTGCTCAGCTACATTTTCAATTTACTTTGTTTACTTTGGTTGTCTTGTCCCATCTCAAAGTCATCACAACATCCCCAATAGTCTTGAAATACCTAGGAAAAGAAACGGTGAAACTTAATTGTTAATAAACGGTGGACCATTGTTAGCATTCCATCATGCTCTAGAAACAAGCATGTGGAAGGCAACACAGAGAATAGAGGTTTAAATTACAGTACCTCCTATCTTGAGAACTTTTACTTCAAATGACAGCCTGTCATCTCTGGGGTATTTCTGGTGAAGTATAACTTTGGCACCTTCCTCAACATCACTCTTCTGAAGTCTGGTTTCCATAAATTCCATGACTACGCTGTCTTCACTAAGGAACTGAAGAGCCTTCATGTCTCATTGGATGATCTGTCACTGCTCCATCTTGACCTTAACATGCTGCAATTAATTCATGATGGAATGCCAGCTGGTACTGCCAAGAAACTGACTTTGTCCCCCACTTGTGAGTCAAGCAGCCTTTTAACACTGTTGGAACAATTGGGAGTAGCAAGGCTTGATTACAATTGGCGGCTCTTGGCTCACAAAAGATCACTTAAATAGAGCTGAATACCAACTTTCATGAAAAGATGAGGAATTTTATCAGCTGTAACTTGGTCAAGATTAGTTGAAAGTTTAGCATTCTCCTCTAGAAGATGCTACAGAGAGGAATAAGCTACTTGCTGGGATGGGCATCCAAATTTCTTGCTCCAATCCTTCTGAGTTACTTGTTGGACTTCGTGTAACAGACAAGAAGACATCTCCAAGGAAGTGCATATGGTGAATACAGAGAAAATATACTATTATAAAGGCAATTTGCCTCTAGTTTTATTCTTTTCTTGAAGCGATATTCAAAAAGGAGATAAGCGATTTCAAAGAAGATTGTGATCTTCACCTAAGACCAATGAACACAGAAAGTTTGAGGTGGACATAATCCCACAGAAATCTGAACTGAATTGATCAAAAGAATGGCTGATGCTACAAAAAGACATGGTGATTTAGAATGTAATAAAATAAAGCACAAGTACTGAAATTAAATGTATAAAAAGTATGATGTACAATACAATACTGTAAGAACTGTTAACAGAATGAATATTCTTGTAATTCCCATTGACTTAGGTCAGTTAAGTACTAGCAGTTGCAACACACAAAGCCCTAGAATGGCTTGAAAGCAACAAGTTCAATGACATGATCTTCATGGATGAGACAACAGCCAAAATCATTATCATCTGATTTAAAACATCCTCTTCACTGCTCACACATCAGCATGTAAACCCACCCCCATGTTTAGAGAGCCTCATTGGGATGCAATGTTAAGAGTGGGAAAGGGCCAGAAGTTATTTCTGCAAGTATTACATGAGTTTCCTAATGCCATATAAACCTGTGCACTTAACTCTTCTTCTACTATATTTAGGCATCGCTAAAAAGCACTACTTTTTAAACCAGCAAAATAAGGAACGTAGGGTGCTATAACACTTTTAGCAGCCACAGATGTTTCCAGGGTGAGAAAAATATTCTCTTTTTCTCTCCCATTCGCAACGGCAAAAGGTCATGGAGTAATATTCCTGTATAAGAGTTATACTAACAAATTCAATTAAATGTTTTCTAGGGTTGTTGCAGGCAATTACCCAAAAGAACAATGCATCAGAGTATTCACTGAATTGAAGAA